ATATATAATAAAATAGCAAAAAATCAGTCATTTTTTATACTATTCCTGTTCTGCTATTATCATTATTATGATTGTTGTTGTTTTCTAGCATTACCCGGTATCTCGATACCGCTAAAAATTGAGCTAACTTAGCTATATTAGTAGCGCGGTTTTAGGCTAGGTTACAGAACAGTTTTTCTACGTTTCACACATATTGTGCTGTACATACATGAACACTGTTTTCCTGCTGTCCACAGACCAGTTTTGTGTGATGAGGTTTCTACCCGCAGCCTCGCTCTGTGCTGTGACCTGCTGGCCTCCGTGTGTCACGTGTCCCTGCAGGTCTGTGATGATGCTCTGGGCTGCCACCTACAGGTCATCATTGGAACTCTAACTGCTCAGGTGACCAGCCGACCCTCCATCTCAGAGCAGGTAGGTGATTGCATGCCAAAGCGTGGTGTTCGTTGAATGTATTTAGTATTTAGTACAAAGCATACAGTTCAAAACTTTTGGGCCGCCCATAATTTCTTAATATTTCATTAGGAAAATGGGAAAGACAATTTTTAAAATGGTAAAAGTTTTTAGGAATACCACTTCTTGTTTTTCAATTTGGTTTCAATTCAGTTTTATTTACACAAATCACAACAACGGTTGCCTTAAGGTGGTTTATATTGTAAGGTAGACCCTACAATAGTATATACAGAGAACAACCCAACAATTTTATGAACCCCTTTGAGTAAGCACTTTGGCAACAGTGGGAAGGAAAAACTCCTCTTTAACAGGAAGAAATCTCCGGCAGAAGCAGGTTCGGGGAGGAGCTTCATCTGCCGAGAGCAGTTGGGGTTAGGGGAGGAAGACAATCTGGGTCTTTTTGTGCACAGACAGAAGGATGGACTGTTTGCTGATAACAAACTCTTCTTTATTTCATATCTTTGTCTTAGAATAACTGTGGCTCCTTTTCAGTGTGCATGATTTTGATTTTGAATCCTCTTTTTGCCCTGAAGGTGCTGAGTCTGCTGCAGTTTCTTGTCATAGAAAATCAGCAGACGTTAAAGGAAGCCATCAGAGGGTTGGAGCCTTTCCCTAATATCCCTGAATTCAGAGAGCTGCGGGCTGTACAGCACAAACTCAAATATAACGCTGGCACCTTCAGTCTGAGACAGGTAAAAGCAGCAAATACATGTGTAAATATAATGTCCTCGCTTTAAAAGTCTATTTAGATCTTCTCTCATCATATTGATACGGAGAGTAATGAATTTTTAATTATCCCCCCTGCAGGAGATCGCCCACTTTCTGTCAGTGACGTCCTGTGACTCCTTACCTCTGACTAGACTGGAGGGGTTAAAGGAGCTCACCAGACAGCTGCATGACAACAAAGGACAGATCAGAGAGCTCCTTAAAGAGTGCCACGGTATGATGCTAAAGGAGGAAGAGTGGTTTCTGCGTGAGAACGATTGCATGTAAATGTTTTCCATCCGTGTCGTCCTTTTTAGCCGATGCGAGCGACAGTGTGCTGGTGAAGTTGGTCCTCAATCTGCTGCAGCTCTGTAAACTAGCAGCCGGCCACCCTGGAGGAGCTGACATTCAGGGTAAAACAAATCAAAGCTGTGTTGTCTTCCATGTCAACAGTTTGATAAGATTCCGTTTGGCAGTGCTCTCATAGCTCAGTCCTTGTGCTGCAGAGGCGGCAGGCAGCTGTTTAGGAGAACTGGGCCCAGTAGACTTGTCCAACATCGCCCTTCTCCATGGCAGAGACCCCCTGTATGAAAAAGCCGTCTCCCTCTTTGAATCCACCGAGTCTCAGTGTCTGTACATCGTCCTCAACTGCACGAACGACGCGCTCACTCAACAGCAGTACGCTGACTCCTCAGATTCTGTAGCTATCAGGTTTTAACTCATGATGATGGGAAAGCTGATGTGCTCTGTGCTGTGGTTGTCTGCCAGAATCGAGGTGAGACGGGCAGCAGCTCAGTGCCTGAAGAACATCCTCGCAACTCAGTCAGGAGTCGACTTCTGGGAGCAACACAAAAGGAAAAGAGACCCCATGCTGACTTA